CGATTTGCCATCATTTATTGCTTTATTTATTATATTAATAATACACTTAATGGAATGTTAAGAATATGACATAAACATGACATACGATTAATAAGGACAGAAAATATTTGCCTCTATAAAGGTAAAAAAATGCACCTGTAAATCAATTTAAGGGGGCAAATATTGTCCTTTAATAGAAAAGGTGTGACTGCGGTCTAAGTGGAAGAGAGGGGGTACGCAGAAGAATGTTAAATGCCCCAGGGGGTACGCTGCTGTAAAAAGTTTGAGAACCACTGCCATAGAGCAATAAAATGAACAGTGAAAATATAACAAAAGCTTGTACAATACATTTGAACAGGTATAATTCAGTGTGAAAGTAACTGCAGGAAATATCTGTTTGCTAAATGAAGCCAGTTTAACATGATTCTTTTTTTTTTTTTTGGTTTCTGTACCCAATATGTTTAAAAATTACAAATGCTTTGAAAATAGAGGTATTGGTACTTGGTATCGGCAAGTACAAAAATAAAAGTATCCGTCTCGTTCTGGAAAAAGTGGTATCAGTGCATCCCTAGTTCTAACAAACTATCAAATCCATCCATCAAACAAACTATCAATCCATTTAAAGGGGGCATCGGATGAAATTTTCACTTTTTTTTTTTTTTTTTGCATGTAGTTAGGTTTCTGGCATGTCTGCCAGCTGAGAAAAGCTGAAAAGAAAACACACAGCCAGTTTGTTATGCACTGTCTGAGTCTGAAACCGTGTCATCCAGTGAGCTGTTACAATTTGCAGCCATTTCTACATAGATAGCTAGCTATTTGAATAAGACCACCTCTGAGCCATAAATGAAGTCCAAGGCAGCAATTCTCACTTCTTGTGTCAACACACCAAATGGAAGAGAGGGGTGGAGTGAGCAGTAGCTCATTATCAGTGAAAGTGACAAAGTGAAAAAAGTGAAAGTGACGTGACATGACATGTGGCCAAATATGGTGACCCATACTCGGAATTAGTGCTCTGCATTTATCCCATCCAAAGTGAACACACACACACCGTGAACACACACCCAACGTGAACACACACCCGGAGCAGTGGGCAGCCATTTTTTTGCTGCGGCGCCCGGGGAGCAGTTGGGGGTTCGGTGCCTTGCTCAAGGGCACCTCAGTCGTGGTATTGAAGGTGGGAGAGAGTGCTGTACATTCACTCCCCCCACCTACAATCCCTGCCGGTACGAGACTCGAACCCGCAACCTTTGGGTTACGAGTCCGACTCTCTTACCATTAGGCCACGACTTCCCCAGGCCACGACTTCCAGGAGACGAGTCGCTGTGAACAGAACTGTTTTTGACAAGGTGAATCAATCCATCTATCCATCAATCCATCTGTAAGGCCAGTAAAGGGTCACACTTCAAGTTTTCCTGTAGTAGTAGAAGTTATTTATTTTTATTGCCATGTCAGCATTAAAGGCTATCTTTGTAGCAAAAACGGAGTTTGGATAATACAAGAGCTACATAAACACAAATTAAAACCAAACAAACAAAAATACAGCAGTAGATTTAAAATCTCTCTCTCTTTAAAATCTTTTCTGGTAAAATCTTACCAAATAAGCCCCTGAGTAAGCGTAGGTCATAAAAAAAGTTTTGTACTTGCATTACAACCGGGACATTCCAATAAAATATGTTCAAATACATTCAAATTTTTAAACAAGGGTTTAAAGAACACAACATGAATTTCATTAATTATGAATTTCAGTGCTGCCTAATTCTATTTCACTACAACAATCGACTAGGGCTGACTAAACATTAGTCAATGAGAAGAGGCTTTGGTCGACCAAATTTTGATTGATCGGTCGGTCACAGAAAAAATAACTCCAAAAGAAGTGTCAAAGTCATGCAGACCAGGAAGGACAGATCATCAACACGGCTGCTCCATGTGGTAATTATGTCGGGCAAGAAATCCAAAGTGTGGATTTATTTCGAGAAGGTAACAAGATGGCCCCAAAAACATGACACCCAAACTCTGCAGGCAAACATTTACCTATCATTTATCAACCTCTATCATGGCTTATCATTTGAAACATGCAAATTAGCCATGTACTTTAGCCACTTTCCATGGCTGCTTGCACTGATGTTACCGTTAACCAAGATAAATGTGCACTATTATTTATTTACTTGTTTTTTTTATAATTTATATCTGTCCTACATTTAAAAAATATTTTCACAATTTAATTTTAAGAAAAGGAAGTTTGTTATTTTTTTTGTTTTCGTTCTGATCTAAAAAAAAAAAAAAAAAAAAAACTTAATGCGATGTTGCGGCTACTTGTCCTTACCTGTTTATTTCTGCATTAATTTCTCTGATGTTTTATTTGTTTATAATTTCTATTTAGGCATTTATAAACAATATTGAACGCTATAAACACGTGGGTTGTGCTTACCGATAGGGATGGCAGAGGTGGTCACAGCTGTAGCATGGGAGGAGTGAGAGGCCATTGTCATGGTGACAATAGTGCTACTGGTCATTTGGGTATGTGGTGCAGAGCCTGTTTTGGGGTACACAGAGTTTACATGAAGTTATGAACCACATGGAAATGTGTCACTGTAAATAATTTTGGGGGACAAAGTTACCTGTAGTAGTAGCTAAAGTAGCAGTGTTGGTAGCCAAGATCGGAGCTACAGTGGCAGCGGCAACAGGGGTCACAGTGTTGAAGATCGGCTTCTGTAGACAAAAAAAAACAAACAAACTCAAAGTTCATAAATGAGTAAAAGAAAGTTTGTGGCATTATGTTTCAGCAAGAACACCCTATATGCTTTATTTTAAAGATTTATACAAACATTACTCTAACAGCGCAGTGGGTCAAAACATGACATACTATCAACTTATAGAAAGTAACTTGTTTTCAGATCATATTTTAATTAGACTGGGTTTAGTACATTGAAAATATAAAACACTTAATTCATTTATCTTATTTAATTTTCAAACAAAAAACATTAAAAAACATCATAATCTCATACTTTATTTTTTTTTACAAATACAGTATAAAAGCATCTATATACATGACTCAATAAATAGCTTCCTTTATATTTTAGGGTGTAATGTGGGGTCCCTGCTTTACATAAATAACTTTAGATCAATAGGCTCATAGTAGGACTGACTTGTGTGACGGTGTGAGCGGGCTGGGCTTTCTGGGTTCCAATTGCTGGGTGGGAGGGGAGGGTGATGCGCGTGGCAGTGTCCCGGGGAGTGGGGGGACGCTGGATGTTGATGGTGGTTGGTGGAGGGTGAATGGTTACTGGTCGCCTAAAACCACAAATTCAAGATCATTGAAATAACACCAAACAATATTATGATATTATGAGTTAAAAGAGCAAAGAGATGGATACAATCATTTTACCCATGAATCATCTCTGCAGCATGTGTGACAGGGGTGTTAATGACTGGGGACTGGGTTCTAGCAGCTGGGATGGGAGCCACCATGGTGGGCAGAACAGCCGTCGAGGCAGTCACCAAAGGTCGAGACTGTAAATAAAGACACCGTGCATAAATATCAAGAACTTTCAAGAACTCAAGAAAGATGTTGGAGATCTATGAACTGCAAATCAGCTTTTGAAAACCCTTTTCACAACTGTGTAAACCGGCAGCAACAGGAAACATAAAATGTAACTACAAAGCAACAGGACCTCCTTGTACATGTGTTTTTATGACTTGCAAATATATATATACATATGGTTTTCTCTAATGTTCTGAACATTGTTGTTGCATATTCGTCTGATTTACTTGCGTAACCAAGGTGCCAAAACCAGCTGGCTAACAGAGATGAGGTTCTAAATGGTGTTTGTCTTGGAATTATTAGTTATTAATTAATTAGTTAGATGAAATTATCAACAAATCAGTAATGTTTTGCACTGTATGTACCAAATGTATAGCCATCATGGAGACATTTTTAGTTATACCAATCTCTTAAATAGTTTATGGGGCAGAAATTGTGATCGTGTGATGGTCTATTTATTTATTTTTAATTATCATTATCCAGTAAATCATGAACAACTAGAAAAGTCATAGTGGCTATGAATATCACTGTGGACAATGGGGGGGCCTTGGGAGTCAAAAAGGTCACTGCTCTAAACATGACATTTACGTTAAGTGCTGTTTAGATCAGAGCAGATTGTTGTGCCTAGTTGTAGGCTTGCTGCGATAGATGGTGTTTTCGGTTATACCGGTGTTAAGCCGCAACACCGGTTACGTCATTTTCCTACAGCGGCACCGCCCCCCACCATCATTTAGATTTTTTTATAGAAACAAAAATCATTTAGCCTAGTTCAGTTAGAGGACAGACACTTTTAAAAACTAAACGCTCAATGCAGCGTGCCGAACCATGCGCGAACGACCGTGCACCATGGAGCAGGAGTCAGATTTTATTTATCACGTGAGGAGAGTGAGTCGAGCTGACTGACAAGAGTGAGGTGAGAAAGACAAGACGATGGCAGAAGATTCTTTAGAAAGGAAATGCAAAGGCGCCTTGTTTGGCAATATTTTAGATTTTGAAAAGTCTATTGACTGGAAGTTTTTTTAAACATTCGTTTCTTATTTATTTGGTTCCACAGTGTTTGCTGATTACTTTATTTAAACGTTGTGTATTTTATTTATTTTATTTTACATCAAGGTATATATGCCGTGCCTCCAAGCTTTCTTATTCGTTTTGCTAATAAACGTTCTATGTTTCTTATTTATTTGGTTCCACAGTGTTTGCCGATTTTCTGTTTTATATACCTATTTAAATTTTGTGTAGCATAAGTAATTCATTATTTTATTAGGCATATATGGTGTATTTTTATTCGTTTTGTTAATAAAAGTTATGAGTTTGACGTTGTTGCTTGAATTGAATCAAAGCCGAATTGTCGCTAATTTGAAAGTGAAAGTAAAACGCGCACGGCACTTTTTCAAGCTATTTGAAAGCCAAGAAATCAGATGAAAAGAGGGAAAACTCAAACGAACAATTGCTTGACGGCGAATTGCGGCAATTCAATTGCCGCTAATTCGAAAGTGAAAGTAAAATGCGCACTGCACTTTTACAAGCCATTTGAAAGCTAAGAAAAGAAGGAAACTCAAACGAACTCACACCCCCCTCCCACCCCAACGGTGATACCGGTGATACGGAAAATTTCCTCACCGTCACAACCCTACCTAGTTGTATGTGATCAGTAAGTTGTGAAGCCTCTGCACCTGAATAGGCTGATGTATAATGTGCTGCACAGCTGCAGGTTGGCTAGGGCCTGCGTTCCCTCCTCCGGCTGGTCTGAGAACAGTAGGGCCTTTAGTGCTAGACATGACAGCTGCAGCAGCTGCGCCTGAAACACCAAACACAAGCACAAATATTACACTATTACAGTAGGTTACAGTTCATGAATACTGTGTTTGTGGAACTAATGGTCACTCTTTTAAACCCTTTGTTAAACACAATCCACTAAATACTCACTGCCTCATTACAGAGAAAAACTACATTTGAATAAAAATATATAAGCTATGAAATTAAATTAGCTGACTGTATAATTTAGCAGCAAAAACAATCTTGAAAAAAAAAATCTTTGGTGCACATTATACAATTTGTGAAAGTAAAACGCGCACGGCACTTTTTCAAGCTATTTGAAAGCCAAGAAATCAGATGAAAAGAGGGAAAACTCAAACGAACAATTGCTTGACGGCGAATTGCGGCAATTCAATTGCCGCTAATTTGAAAGTGAAAGTAAAATGCGCACTGCACTTTTACAAGCCATTTGAAAGCTAAGAAAAGAAGGAAACTCAAACGAACTAACACCCCCCTCCCACCCCAACGGTGATACCGGTGATACGGAAAATTTCCTCACCGTCACAACCCTACCTAGTTGTATGTGATCAGTAAGTTGTGAAGCCTCTGCACCTGAATAGGCTGATGTATAATGTGCTGCACAGCTGCAGGTTGGCTAGGGCCTGCGTTCCCTCCGGCTGGTCTGAGAACAGTAGGGCCTTTAGTGCTGGACATGACAGCTGCAGCAGCTGCACCTGAAACACCAAACACAGGCACAGATATTACTATTACAGTAGGCTAAAGTTCGTATCAAACAAACAAACCAGAAAAGTCACTTTCATCATGTAAAGGCGTCAATGCGTCATTTCTCGCATCAAACAGAAGTGCATAACATCCAGAAAACTACAGACATTTGAAAACTATTTTTGCATTTAGCTTAAATTGACTAATTTCAGTTATTTCAATGAAAATTTTGTAGTCGACTAGTGTAAAAGTAACAAGTCCTGTGTAAAAATCTGTTAATTCTAACAGCCAAATCCAATGCTATACAGCTGAAAAAAGGTCATATATTTTAACATTAGACTGTCGCATAAAACGTGACAAGAATTCAAGTCAACATTGGCCAATACAGTCATTTATTTATTGAAAATAGAGAGTTCAGGACTTATAGGGGCAAAATTAATAGCCTACTGTAAACAGAATACCAAGTAAAAGTTAGACAATATATTATAACAAGTTTAAAATGTTTTGTCATTCTACCAGAAGAAAAAAAAAAACAGGAAGGAACATCATTTAAACCCAGCATGTCTAGCACGTCAATTTACAGTAGGTATAGAAAAGAAATCACCCCCCTTTAAAATAATCACATTTTGTTGCTTTGCAGCCTTACTGAGCGGAGAATGACTGACAGCTGCAGCAGAAGGAAGATGAGTTTCTGTAAGCCTAAATTCTGTCCCTCACATTAAGATATGGAATGGCTTCAGATGATATAGTGCAGGGCTCCAGACTGTGACCATTTTTTCTGCCCGAGTGACTAAATTTTGTGTGCGATCGCACTGGCGCAACCACCACGTTGGTCAACTCATAAGCGCTGTAATTTCTGTTGCATATGAGAAACATCAAACGGCAAACGAAACTGATTTATACATTAAGCATAAGTTCTGCACAGATATATTTTTACTTGTCATGAACACTGAGAGTGCGCTTGAGAGCATACTCCGTCTTTATAGCACATTATTCCAATTCATCTCAATGGATGCACAGCGTATTTGACACACAGTAAACTCTAGATTGAAAGCCCCACCCTGAGAGTGCTCAGTGTTTCTCTCACACATTCGAAGAAAGAGAGAGTGTGCGAGCGCGTGTGTAAATGATATTCTTTGTTGTATTTTCCTGTCAAAATAACATTTCAAAAGTGAAATGTGAAAGTGGAATTTCATTTGGAATTATTCAGTCTTCAACACAAACAGAAGGCATTGGCAATTTCTTTAGTAGTGGACAAAACTAATGCGAAAACGTCAATCTTAATGTAGAGTGCTCACTTATTATGTCCCAGTTTTGATTTCAGCAAATCAGTTTGAATGTGGACAACATGATTAACATACATTAACCCAGCAGCTCATCAGGCCCTCGGGCACTTGTAACTATTAATAGTAGTATTAAGTATTATCTTATCAGTATTATTGATAGTTGACAAATATGCATTTAAATATATACAGTAGGTATAGAAAAGAATCACCCCCCTTTAACATAATCACATTGTGTTGCTTTGAAGCCTGAAATGAAGACGGACACTGTTTTTGTTATATCCATCTGTATTTACTCAGTGCAACTTAAAACATCCAAGTGAAATATATAACACCAACATGTCAGAAAAAAATTAAAGAAATAAAAAACAGAATCACTGAGTTGGAAAAAGGATCACCCCCTTGTGTCAGTATTTTTTTTTTTTTACAATAAATCGTGCTACCAATGGTGATTAAATCTAACGATCGCAGCTCAGAGCACGTCAAACTGTGCAAATTATTATTATTGTTATACATTGTTCTCATCAGTTAGTGTTAACAACATCAACATTGCGTGACTGCATGCATTTAGTGTGCATTACGATACTGTTACGATTCCTTTAATAAATTTGAGTATTTGATTATAAAAAATCCTGTATTTTGCCCGTGTCAATTAAGCAGCAAAATACCGTAAGTGGCGCATTCCACGGATGAGAATCCATGAAAAGCATTACTAGACCGTTTTATAAGGCAGCATGAAAACCATTTAAAAATCATAATAAAGCATAGTGCTATTGTACAGCAAAAGAGAAACTCCTGTTCACAAAATTCAAATCACAAATAATACTGCTGATGATAAAGAACGGGTTGAATGAAACCCCTTTCGTTTCCATATAACCATAAACTATGATAAAAGTTTATAAGGCAGCATGAAAACCATTTAAAAATCATAATAAAGCATAGTGCTATTGTGAATTCACAAAGGCTGCAGTTCAATTAAATAAATATATGTATTGCGGGTTTCACATGTGCTTTATTTATATGCGTGTAGGTTGTGTGCATCTCAGAGCGGCTCCGTTTAGGGCTGTCACGATTATGAAATTTGGCTGACGATTAATTGTCTAAAAAATAGTCACGGTTATTGCGATTAATTGTCTGTTTTAGGGCTCGTGCGACCAGCTGAGAAAGTTAGTTGCAAAAGAGCGACCAGTGGGAAGAATGAGTCTGGAGCCCTGTATAGGCTATACAGCGCATGAAAAGCAAACTGGTGCTCTTCTGTTTCTTTTGGTGTATGACTCCCCCTTGTCTCGTATAAAAAGCACAATAATTGCAGTTGTCTGAAACAACCGCGGTTAGATCAAATAATCGCGATTAGACGGTTATTTAATTATCGCAACAGGCCTATATACGGTGCATGAAAAGCAAACTGGTGCTCTTCTGTTTCTTTTGGTGTATGACTCCCCCTTGTCTCGTATAAAAAGCACAATAATTGTGGTTGTCTGAAACAACCACGGTTAGATCAAATAATCGCGATTAGATGGTTATTTAATTATCGCGACAGGCCTAGCTCCGTTCACAGTAAATGCTGCTCCACACAAACCATCAAGTTATCATTTACATACGCAGACCATCTCAAACTCCATCTTTCCACATGCTGAGAGTCGGAGTTGCTTGTTCATCTGGGAACAATGTGCACCATTCTATCAGATTTATAAGGTAAATCATTTATAAACCTATGCCAACACAGGAGAATACATCATTATCTTTCTAAATACGGTAACTCCTCATCGCGACTTCAAAATAAAAGTTTGCATGTTTTGATGTCCACATGTTCTTGTTCAACAAATTACAGTGGCTGTAGCATTTCTATCATAAAGAATTGGCCAAATATTAAAGATTAAGTGGACATTTGAATTAAATGTTGTTTAGTCAATATTATACAAGGAATAGATTGCACTAGAAAGTGTAAAAACAATCACCAGGCCATTGGCGCCCACTGCAGGCACTTGCTATAATACATAATGTACATACGTTATGATTATATTGTTTTATTACATGAGTATTTTAACTGTTTTGTTCAATAAAACCATATGATTACTTGCTTTTGATATTTTATTTGAACCAATAATTACTGCCTCATTGCTATTATATATATGTATTTTAAGTCATTTTAAAGTCTATGGTTCACTTAGGTCTATTTTTATTACCATAAATTATCCAATTACTCGATTAATCATCAGAATAATCAATTGATTACTCGATTACCAACATAACTGTTAGTGACAGTCCTACTTTAGATTTTGATTTCTGTATAGTCTAATAACGGTCATACCTTTCAAATGTCATCAAAAGAAATTGTTCTTTTAACCTCAAAAAAATATAATGTTCCATAGAACTCATTCTAAAATGACAAGTTTAATTATTCCAGCTGCTGTAAGAAGAGGCTACAAATTATCTGCCACCTGCAGCATCCACACATGCCATATAGCCTACTAACCATGACTCCTTCTTTACGTATACAGACGCGACAATGACGCAAAGATGAACGGCGGCAGACTCGGAAATCGACCTGAAGCACTCAAATTAGAAAACATTATTACAAGCTTACCCTTGTGAATCGGGCTAAGGTAAGGAGATAGTTTTGAACACTGATTGGTTATGTACTTGCTCAATAATTGATTTTGGATAATTTTTAACCAAAAAAGTTACGGAATGCAGCTTTAAAAGAGTCTTCTTTTGTGTTCTACATAAAAAGAAAGTCATACGGGGTTTGGAACAACATGAGGGGGAAGTAAATGATGGAAGTTTTCATTCTGGGTGAACTATCCCTTCATGCAACGATGTTGAGTTTGAATGAAATCACTGACCTCTGGGCAGATGGGAGGTGAAAGTGTGGGAAGGAGCAGGAGATCCGATCTGTAGCGCAGATGCACTGCCCCTGAAGATCTGCACGTTAGTGGCCATTAGTTGATGACGATTACTCTGTCCCTGGAGAAACATTATTTGTCACAAAATGTTTGTCGCAATAAGCACACTGTGTGCAATCTAAAGAACCCTGTCTAGGAGGAGTTCATAGTTGATAGTGCCATACCTGCTGACCGCTGATGGTTGCCACTGGTATAGAAGCTGGAGCAATGCTGCTCTCAAGGGGAACGGTGATATGTCCAGACACTTTGGCTGGAACAGGAACATGACCTTGGCTAATGGCTGGAGCAGGTGCTATAAGACGACTAGGCATAGGTGACTTCAGGGCAGTCTGGAGAATGAAAAAAAAAAAAACAAAAAAAAAAAAAAAAGAGGTGGATGGATTATCTCGGCAAAGGAGAAGTGCTCACTAACACAGATTTAGACAGATTTGTGAACAATATTTGAGAGAAATAGGCCTTTTGTGTACATAGAAAAAGTCTTAGATCTTTGAGTTCAGCTCATGAAAAATGGGGGCAAAAACAAGTGTTGCATTTATAATTTTGTTCAGTGTAAATCAAAAGATTGAAGGGTGATTCTCAAAAATCTGTATTTTCTGCAAGTTTTTTTTTTTCAAGAAAAATGTAGATGTCTTTCCAAAAAAGGACACTTAGAAACTCCAAAAGGACACCAAAGAACCAAAATGATATAAAGAGCCCATATAAGCACATATGAAAGAAAAAAAGAATGTTATAGTATATGTACAGTGCAACAGCAAAGAGCTTTTTTACATTTTAGAGAAATAAAGTTGCGATACTGAACAGGGCCACATTGAGATGCCAAAAAACCCAAAACCAACCGCCTGCTGACTGCATATATCTACTACAGTACACGGATCCATTCAGAATAACTAAACACAGCAACATACAAGTGACAAATCAAATGTCCTGAATGTGTATGGAAACAGCGTGAATGTACAGAAATGTCTGTGCATAAATACAATGTGCGATCAGTGCGTCATAGTCTTCCCCCATCAAAACTTTACTAGCGAGACTGATTATCCAGTCGAGAAACTGTAGTTTGCGTCTCATCTGGCCATACAGCGGTAGGATGTGTTGACAATCCGTGTTGACTAATCCGTTCAGTCTGTACTTCAAACAGCGCGACATGTGAGGGCTTACGCTCTTCAGAGACAATCACAGAATATGACGGAACTCGTGTTTAAAAGCGAAACACACTGGAATTAATAATTCAATGAAAACGCAACGCGAGTCTCTGTTCTCTCTGATGTAATCAGCCTGGTTTCCTTTATATTAGCGCTGTTTTGGACAGATTGTTTCAATGCATTCGCTTACTGGATCATTAGACTGAAAACTTTCCCGGAGTTTAGCTTAAAATGATCTGATCGCAAGCAGAGAAGCAAAATTGGGTTAAAGGGGTCATATGATGCTTTTTTCCACATAGTGAGGTAGATATGTGGGGGCGTGTTTGAACGAGCCGTTTTAGGGGGGCGTGGCAGAGTCTTAACTTTGATAAAGAATATCTCTTTGGTTTTGAGACTTTAGTCTTTGCAACTTCAGGGATCTTATCTATGCACAATCAGCTTGTAACACTCCAAAGAGAAAGGAAAACTTGAAATCGCATCATATGACCCCTTTAAAGAGTTAGAATAGAAAATGTTCTTCAGTGATTTTGCGTGAAATTATTAATTGCGTTAAGGATTGTAAAATTAATCTCAATTAAACGTGTTAATGTTGACAGCCCTAATATATATATATATATATATATATATATATCAGCAGGTCCTGTTCGGTATATATATATTTATGTGTGTGTGTGGTGGAAATGACTCCACAACTGAGACAGCCATCATTTCTGAAAATTATATACATTTAAATTACATAAATTCACAGGAGAGAAGAAAGTGAAATGAAGTTACTTTCACTGAGCCCTCACTGACGCTGGACTGATGGCCCTGTAGTAGTTGGACTGATGGGGCAGCCACAGTTACAGGAGGGCTGGGCTGAATAGGCACATGCTGAGGCAAAGCAGGAGGCTGGCCTAGAGCTTGGACCTGTGGGTAGGGCCTGACCACCACCGGCTCCTGCTTATCATCACGGAACGATGCAATTCCACCTGCACTGCCACTGCCAGGTGGAGGATCCTGAGAGTGATCCACTTCACGGCTGCTGTCCTCCCTGCCCACTGCAACACATTATTTATCACATTTTATCAGCCTTCAATATGTGATGCCCATACCTGGGATCTCAAAAAGTAGGCCTACTGGTACTTCAGTACCTAGTTGATATTAAAATTAAATGCAGGCTTAACACTAATACAACACTCTGTGACACTGCATCAACTTTAAAGTGCCTCAAAAAAATTTGAAAATCAGAAAAATTAAAATAAAATATGTAATGTGACATCAGAGAAGAAACGCTGTTACAGATGGGATGAACATTTTCAGATTCTGAACCATTTTTTTCCCGTGGATTAACTTGCCCAGAATAATTGTTCACCACAAGACTAGTAATGTGTGTGAACAAAGTAAAGAGGGTCCATTTTGATTTCATGTGAACTTTAAATCATGTTCAATGCTCAAAAAAAAATGTTTTATGTGTATACACAGTAGTTTTGTGAGTGCTAACAGACAGTATGAAAAAATATTGCATCACAGGAAAAAAAACAAAAAAAGACAAAAGCAAAAATCAATTGAGATTTTTTTTTTTACTGGTTACTATATAAAGTCCATAATCTTTTCTTCTTTATTGTGACGCAATATGCGCCAACCATCTTCTCATACGCATACAATGAGAAGCACTTATCAACAAAAGAGAAGCTTTAAGGGCTTAATTATTATTATTAATATTATTATTTATTTTATAGCCATATTGATATATAATCAAAGTTTCAGCCAAATTGTGCCTCCTTGCAAACAAACACAGCAAACCAGACGTTTCTAATTAATTAATTTTAATTAATCACAATTGCGATTTTTACCAGAAAACTATATATATTTTTTTTTTTCATGGTAACTGATGATGCTATGAATTTCATGCAACAAGGGGGTTTAGTCAACTAGTTAACTGTAGTTAATTTTGCTGTGTTATCAACTACTGGAACTTTTGATTTTGATAGTAACAAGCCCGTCTGAAACGAAATGGTCTAGATTGGTGCAATCACACTCCTACCTGATTGTGTGCATAGAACGCTGCTGTCAGTAGAAGTCTGACCTGGTCCAGCTCCAGGAGGAGGCAGTGCAGCCCTGGGAAACTGCTGAGAACTCATCTTGTGTCTATTTTCTGTGAGAAAAGACCAATTCTAGTTGAACAGTTTTAATATCTTACTATACTAAAGTACAAGGACAAATATCACAATTCAAAAAGAACTGGAGAGCAGACTGTGCTGTGAAAAATCCTGCTTTCTGCAGAGTTCACTATAGTTAACTATTTTCTTATCTGTACTTTTCAAGCAACCCCAGAGACTTAAAACTCATTATGGTGCGTATAACTAGGGCTCAATGTAAAATGCACGATGGAGGCTCCATTTATAAGCAGGGTTTGGGACCCCAGCTCTAGAGTTCAGTTGTATGATAGTTCAGGTGGAGACACGGACCACAGAAATTATTTGCAAACAAAGCACATGATCGAATAAAACCAACAACAAACAAACTACGATCGCCGCATTACACAGACCACACGATTCGCTCTCTTTTACAAAGTAATATCCACCAATACTTCAAATATTCTTATTAAGGCGCGATAAGCACTAGCTGATGGCAATACCAGTCACTTTTGGTGCATTAATGTTTAATTCATGAAACGAAACAGGTTGCACGACTAAATCTTACAAACAGCCAACAAGCCATGATAACAGAGCAACGGTAGATGTTATTGATCAAAACAGAGGCGTTATTGCTGGTTGACAAAAGCTAATGTGAATCTGTCTATAAAGTGCAGGTTAAATGCAGGAAGTATGAGGGTTCTTTCATGACAACAATATGGAAATGTACTACAAACACAAATAGGACCTATGAGAAAAAAGATAAGAAACATTGTAAATACTACCGTGTCTCTCTCTCTCTGAAGCTATTCCCACTCCATAGTGTGAAAACTGCATCAACCAAAAAGCACTAAATGGCGGCCCGGCGCAAAAGATTTCAAAATAAAACCCCCATATGAACCATATACATTTTTCTCTGTATATATTATTTGTCTTTACAAAAATATATATATATGTGTGTGTGTGTGTGTGTGTGTTGCCTGAATTCCACGACAAAATAATACATAAATAAATCTACAATGTTCTATATGTAAATATGTATATGAATAATAGGAAATCAATCAATCAATCAATAAAAACTAATTGCAAAAATGTGAAATGCAAACATATGAAATTTAGTCTGATAGAAGACTTGATTGAAGACTCTGAAGTTGATTTTTAATTCCATATTTCAAACTTTCTCCAATCATTCATTTCTCATTCATTTTATTTCAGTTTTTTCTCTTTCTATTTCTATGTTGCGCAAAGGGAAAAAAATAGAACTACAGAAATAAATGAATGATTAAAAAAAAATATAAGAAATAGCGATAGAATGTATTTATTTGTTTCATTTATTTCTTATTTCTATGATGAAGGTTATTAGAGGAAGTATAAATGTTTTACCTTATATGTTTGTTTTCTGTAAAGTTGTCGAAATCCTCCTTTGTAAAGTGGGAATACATTTGTAGGTGACTGAACTTCTGGTTATGATATAATTGCAGTTTGAACCATGCTTTACATAATTTCCCATCATATCCCAGTATTTCATTTTTTTCCTTCTCACTCAAGCCTTGTTCCAAAACACAGTGTGGCCATACTTTTGAAACTGTGTTGTTTATTGATTATTATATACTATTTATTTTAATAATGAGGACATGGAGATTGATTGATTGATTGATTGATTGATTGATTGATTGATATTATCAAAAGCATTAAACATTATCAAACAGAAAGACCTTAAAGGTCCCATGACATGCTGCTTTTTGGATGCTTTTATATAGGCCTAAGTGGTCCCTAGTACTGTATCTGAAGTCTCTTTCCCGAAATTCAGCCTTGGTGCAGAATTTCAGCCACTACGAGCCAGTCCCACAATGAGCTTTCCTTAGGATGTGCCATTTCTGTGTCTGTAGCTTTAAATGCTAATGAGGAGGAGAGAGGCGGGGCAACTGCCATGCTTCGCTCGTTTGCAAGCCATGATGTCTCTCGAGGAAAAAAAATATTGCGCTCGGCTCGCACGGTAGTAGCTCATTTTCTCATGGGTGGGCCAAATTCTCTGGGCGGGCAAAGCAGAGAAAGGGGAGGTAACCTTTCCCCGTATGACGACATAAAGGGAAGATTCCAGATTGGGCCATCTGAGCTTTCATTTTCTCAAAGGCAAAGCAGGATACCCAGGGCTCGGTTTACACCTATCGCCATTTCTAGCCACTGGGGGACCATAGGCAGGCTAGGGGAACTCATATTAATGTTAAAAAAACCTCATAAAGTGAAATTTTCATGCCATGGGACCTTTAAATATTATCATATTATAACAACATATTTTTCAACAATTCTCATTACAAATTTGTGAAGTTGGTACTTGGTGCGTGTTGCATTTTCAAATGCATGTTATAAGTAACCTACAATCACAGCACTTGCGGAGATGGAGTTTGTGTGGAACTGCAATTGCAAACTGAGCCGCTCCAAGACACTGAAAATAACAGACCATGCATAAATGAACAGTGCCACACTTCCAAACACTGAGGCTAAGAGTTCTTTTGTCTTTTGATAACTCCAAAGGTGTGGTTCTCATTTAATTCCCTGTGACTCCTCTGCATGTGCACGATTGAACACGGGGAGTCACCAGCTTTTTTGCATAATACTGAAAAATCATACCAGTGTACTTTGAGGTCAAAATGTCTGATTTGCATGTTTAGTCTTGTACAGAACCATATTAAATTATTTTTTCTTGAATCATCATTGGAAGCTGGTTCTTACAGTTTTCACAGTGAAAGTGGGGTGTAACTGGGTTAGAATTTAAACAGCTGAAAATCCTTTTGTTCAGAGTTACATTACAGACTGCTGCAGACTGACATCAAACACCAATTGGATACCAGGAGGACAACCGATATAGACAGACACATTCTGCAGAGAGAACATGACAAAATGAGCCTCAAAGAGCAAGAAAGGGAGAGGACAACAACAGAGTAAGAGAGTAAAGATGAGCATTACCTTGAGAACCATCCCACCGTTGGTCTACTGAAAACACTGTGAATTGCCAGTCTAATAATCAAAAAATAAACAAACACAAAACTAATATGTTCACATCACCTATTTCAAAACCAATCCAAAGCAAAATCAAGCCAAATGCTATCTGATTGCCAATGAATAATCTGTGATTTTTCCTCGGTGATATTTTCTCTCCCCTGGAAACATCTGATCTTGAAAGTCCCTTTGTCAGTCACTGTCACTTAGACAACTGAGCACAAGATGATCTGAAATTAATTACAGTTAAAAACTGATGTTGCTAAAGTTGTTTTTGAGGTTTGGGTAAACTGCCTTATAGATTACACTAATTAATCACTTTTTTTGTACTGAATGTGATTCTCTCCCATTTTGAATTTGCTTACAATAATACAAAACATACATATGTCTGTGATAAGTTTATAAGTTTGTGTATGCAATTAATGATAAATCAATGTGATGTTCACACTGCCTTTTTATGCATGCATGCACAGAGACACTAATCAGATGAAGCAGGAGAGCTGTAGCACATCATCTCAAATGTCACAGATTTTAATGTGAACAATTTAATGTTAGAAAACACAAACAGCAAACTCAGTCCTACAGTGACTTTGTATAGGTACAATTATGTTATTATCAAAAGCAATGGTAGCAAAGTAATGTTCTGTAATATGGTATCTAGAATTATTACGAGCATAAAATAGGTACCATATTCATTTTGACTCATCTCTTTGAGTCCAAAAATTGGTTTTAAGTCTGAAATGTGTGGTTTATCGTTTGAATTTTTTTTTTCGTAGATAACATTTTATGTTGTAGTCACCCAACCAACATTTTTTTATTATTATTTTTTATTTGTTTATAATGGGGGTTGTTAACAAATTTGAATGTTAAAATATGGGGCCCCTGGAAAAAAAGATTGTGAACCACTGCTCTAAACCAACAGTTAGAGACAAGTCATGTTGATGTGAGAATTACATTCAATAGGGCATCAAACATTTCAAAGTATCATAGCATTCTAAAACAAATGGCATCACAAAATATGATAAATCAAATGCAAGTGGCACATATAACTTTTATAGCAGAGGTATACTGCTATTTTATAGCAGAGTAACTAGATTTAGGCCCATATTTTTACTCTTACTCTTTGTGGAAAGGGATTTTATGCTGTCCACCAGATGGCACAACTAAACTGAATAAATATTACTCAGCACTTTTCAACATCAAGTTTCTTTACATAGATCTATACCATATTTATATATTTTGCAATTGTTAAACACTCACTAAAAGACTTTTTAGACTTACTCCATATAATTAATTTTGTTTTGGAGTTCTTTTTTCCTGACCTTGCGTGTCAGTGGTACGTACAATAGCAACGCAGTTCCAAAAATATTTAATTTTGATTCGTGATGGAAATTTGGAGCAGACAAACAAACGCTTCAGGTTTCTTGTCTGGCCCCAGTCCAGAAAAATTCCAACAAATTTTCAGAATAAAGCCACGTTAGTCATTCTCAATTCATTTCATTCCTGAAAAGAAAGGCGCAACAAAGCTTAAGACTGACAAACAGCATCACACACTCCACCTGCTACTCTTTTGTTGGCTTTGCTTAAAATTATTCACTGCTCTCTCAAAAGGATATTACAAAATAAACAGATTAAACAACATTCAACTCTTTTTCCAAGCATTTCTTTTTCTGAGTCTTTCCAGTACAACTTACAAGACATGCAGATATTTTGTTTGTAATGAAGTCTGATTTTGGCATCAAGTGTTCCAACAAAAGGTGTTATGGTGTGTCTAAACTATCAAGAAGGCTCTGTTGAACTCTTTAAAGAATACTATTTTCTGAATGGCTTTAATGTAATTGCTTAATATGATTAGCCTTCATTCGATAGACTTCATGATACAGTATTCAAACTGCAACGGAGCAGATATTTTGCAGTTACATGTTCTTGCTGTCTGAATATGATATGACTTACCAAAGAAAAATGGAAAAGGTATCGGTAATTTTCTGCCAGGACATTCATTATCTGTTAGGTTTATGGGCCTAAAACACAACAACATCATTTTAAAATACGTACATTTTCTTCATATTTTTGTGGAATTTTCTTATAATGTACAAAATACATTGTTGGAAAATATACTAGGAGGGGGAGCTAACAACACATACCTTTGCTAATGAAAATTCATAGGTAAAAACAAATTTGAAACATTTGAATCAGAATGCTTAGATGTGTCACTATTCACTACACACAGTTTAACTAGTTACTTTCTGTTGTGCAGTGAAGTAAAAGCTGTTTACCTCCTCTCATGCTATAATTTGTTGATATATTTGTCTGGGGCTGAAGCAATGCCTCATGGTATTGTCATGTTATTTTATCCTCCAGAAAGAGGCAATAAAGTCTGCATAAGCAATTGCCCAGGACGGGGTTTAGGAGGTATAACAGACTGTTTTAGACCTGAAAAGTCTCAGTGCATGGATAATGATCCCATGGCTTTAGCTTCATGTTACTAGCACACATATGGGGAATTACATCACAGGATACCCAGGATGTTTGGCAACACTGCTGTGTTCTCATGAGTCAAAACTATTTTCCTGCATGAGAGCGAGGCTATTTTTGTCAGTCATGTAAGGTTAAGGTGCTTCTTGCAAAAGCTCAGGCGTGTGTTGGGACTATATTTGGATCAACGGAATCTCCTCTTAATCTAAAATATAAATAAATAAAATAAATTGTATCTTGTCATTTAGTTTTTATCATCCAACTTACTGTATTGCAGGGCCCGTACAGTCCCCTATGAAGAAACATGAAGTTCAATTCACCTTTACATTAAAGCTGCAGCAAAATAGCATGAAAAGGGAGGTGATGG